TCCTGCCAGCTTCTCCGGCCTGGCACTCGATGGTCAGTGCGAGAGCATCAGGTCCGTTCGTGTTGATGAGCGCGGCCTCTAGCTGACGCGAATAGCGAAGAAATGTCAATGTCGCCAGTATGTGCACAACTGAAGAAGACCTCTATGATGCGTGGACGGGAGCCGTCGCAGGCTATTCGTATGCCGGCGAGCAAAATATTTGTCTGAGGTTTACAGTACCGGTAGACCTGTTTCAGGGCCATTACTACAGATCTGCTCAGCCATATGAAAGATATTATCACTCACATATGTCGATTCACCAGTTACCAGTGGAGAACTTTCACAAATCGCATCTAAGGTAGGGATAACATCTTTGCATTGATGAGACAACGCAAAGACTTTCGCTATTGTTTGCGCAATGTCATCGCACAACAGTGGCGGGCAGCGTTGGCCGGCGAAGAGAGTATTGGACAATTCGAACCAGAACGGAAAGCTCTGCGGTTTGCTGATACAGTTTTGAAAGATATGGTGATGGCTGTACCACCGATTTCGAGACGAGGAACTTGTCTGCAGGACACGTCGAAGGCTGGGGCTCCCCTCTGGGAAGACAATGTTGTCAAGCCCGAGTACCCGAATCCGCAAGTGTTTGACAAAGCTTATCAGACTGCGAGTAGATGGTAGCTGTAGGTTAGATAGGGTGACGTGCTCCAGACGCATTGTATACATAGGTAGTGCTTTGGGCAGCAGAGCAAACGGAAGCGATGGCAGCTTCGATGCTGGCTGAGCCTGGTCGTCCGGTAGAGTGCCTTTTACAATCCAATTGACGTAGTTGACGAAATGGAGCTGTTCGTGAAGCCTGAGAAAGAACTGGTGGCCCCATGAGATGCCGGGGGATGTCTGATCTTCGACAAGATCTGGACTGCGAATGCAGTCTCGAATGGGACAATCGAGGAAGTCAGGAGCACTGAGGAACGCGGAAAGTTGGGATACATCCTCCGCGCTGCTGATAGTGAGACATCCGAAGAGGATGGGCCTGATGACCTTAGCCCAGTGGCGGCAAGTCAAGCTGCAAGAGGCGAGGCCTCGCTTTGATGCCCTGTCCGTGGAATATTCGCGGTCATCGAGTCGTACCAGGACGGCGTGGACAAGCTCTTCGGGCAGGCATTCTCCTAACGCGTCGGGCATTAGCACTTACTCGGAGGCAGGAAACGCACCGCCACGAATTCTCTGAAGATGTGAGGCTAGGATGCAGAGATGAGCCAGAGGAGCGACGTACGAGAAGCAGGAGGAATGTTGCTCAAATCGATGGACTCGCTACTTCCCGAACACCGCCTCCCCAACAAACTTCGCGAGACCGGGCTTCGCAACATACCGCGACGCCCTGCAGATGCGGTATCAAACCCAAAATTCGTCTGGGAGCGCAATTTCCTCGCGGATGAATGTCTACTTCTGCGAAACGGTGCCGGATAGTTAGTGTATGGTCCCTACCTTCGGTAATTGCTCTCCGTGGTCTGAGTCTCTCGGAGGACAGCTGTGCGCTCTCTGCTCAAATTATCACACCTTATCCTGCCATTTCTTACCCAATTGCCTGCCTGCCCCTGTCCGTACTAGTACTCTGTTTGTAGATTGTATGTGGTGGGTAGGCCGAAAAATTCAATTAGATATATAACTTGAATATCATTTTATCCCCGTGGCATAAAGCTGGCGCTCGCGAAATGGTGAGACTCAACATCAACAGCTTGCTCTCTCTCACCCATCTTCACTTTATCAGTATATTCAGTCTCGCGTCTGCATAGCATGCTCTCATGACTCGCGATGCTCGACTTCGCAACATGTAGCTCAAGCTCAACTCGCTGATAAGCCAAGTCACGGACCGCCGTCCTATTCTTGGTTCGCACTCGTCTCTCAGTCCGTGTTAACGTCGTGCTCACCATTGCCGTAGTCGCTGCAACCGCATGTTTCTCTCAACCAGGCCTCGCCAATCCATCCATTAGCGCAGAAGCGCAGTTCTACGCGCCCCACCAGATCATACTCCTCTGGACGCGCGTCGAGGCCGCGCTCACGGTTTTACCTCGCAATCAGCAAGCTCATTGAGGCAGAGATGAGGCGGCGGATAGCAGATGTCAGAAGATGCGAGGTCGCGAGGTCGCGAGGGTATATTGCTATGGTGCGTCTTGGCAGTGCTAGCCCGATGTCATTGGCTAAATGGCGCTTCAGAGCCATCCCCGCGCGGACACCAGGGTCAAGAACCCTATTGTCAACCCCAGGACGCTCAGTATCTCCATTGTCGCACCTTTCGTCAGCATGAATGAAGAACTACCGCTTTGCTATGGCCTGGAACAGGATCGGCGCTACCGGCCGGCGTTACCGCCAATGAGTCGACTTGCAGCCTGTTAGCTCATTCTTGGTTTGTACTCGTCTCTCATACTGCGTTATCATCGTGCTCATCATTTCTCCAGCCATTAAGCCTGCTACACCCTCCCCCGCTGGTTCTCGTCACGTTATCTATCAACGCCGAGCCGCAGCTCTAAACACTGACAGTGCTCACCTGGAAACGCGCCAAGGCTGCGCTCAAAGTCTTGATCGATCAATCATTCACAGGTGCATGAGCTCGCCGTCGTTCATGAATCCAGGAGCGAGGCTTTATGTGTCAAGGAGCTGAACGTTCGGATCCCGAGAAGGCAAGCAGCGTCGCACGACCACAGCCTGCAGAAGCCGGTAGAGTGGTCTGATCGGGAGTGGTTCAACAATTAGAGACGATACGGTGGACCGCGGGATGTGGGGATGCGAAGTCGGGAGGGTGTACTATCGTGGTGCGTCTTGACCGTGCTGGCTCGTCGTCGTAAGCTGAATGGCTCCCAGAGCCGCTCCCAACGTCGACAACATTATCAAGGCACCTGCCACTGATCCCTATAAGTACAGGATTAACTCCCTCGCTATCACCGGCCTGTACTTCGGACTACCCGTTTGCCATGGGCTTGAAGCAGGACCTGTGCTGCCAGCCGGTACCGATCGCTGAGATATTACGGTCCTCGATCCACCCAGAGAGTTCAACGCGAGGGGAATATCCTCAGTATCGGAGAAGATATCGATGTGCAGACGGACGACATAGCTTGGAGAGCCCGAAGAAGCTGGGACAGCGGCAGAGCGGGCGTGTGCGATTGTGCGTAGCTATCTCGTACCTATGCTGGGTCATAACTGACAGCCTTCAAGGAATTGGACCCTCGCCATCTGAAGCCCGGCGTGAGCCTTACTTTCCCTGGCATTGTGAGTGTATCCACTACTTCTTACTCGCAAGCTCGCTCACTAGTCACAGGGCGATGGGCGTATAGCGACGAGGGCCTCATCGGAGACCGATTCGAACACCTGCGTACTCCGACCAGAGACAGACAACGACAAGCCCGACTACATCCTCTTTTCTCCTTCCGGTCTCCAAGCTATAAACTTGCGAAAGGCTGACGCCGCCTGCGCATCGGCCCTCGGACACTATAGATGTCATCTGGTCGCAAGTACGGCGGTGAAGAAGTTCGGCGTCGGCACAACTGCAAAGCGGCGCAGCAAGTGGCAAGGCCGCGAGCTCTGTCGTCACTGCACCCAGCACCCACCCGGAACTCGACAAACACATATGAGTCGCAGCCCTCCGCTGATATCTGGAGCATTGGATGGAGTGTCTGTTAGCCTGTTCGATGGTGAGGATGTTTGCGGGTACGTCGTTGGGCTCTCATCGATCGTGGTTTGTGCAGGACTCACCGTGCATCCCCAGCCAGACCTTGCGGTTTTTAGCCTGACTGCTTCGTGGAAGGCGATTCTGCTAGTACTTATGGGAACGTCGATGATACCGTCCGCCAGCTGAGCGTAAATTTTATCGCTCGAGACCTCATCCGTGTACGTCAATGGCATCACCCTCCAGCTCTCGTTCGGCAGCTTGTACGATGTCGTAATCGTTTTTCTGCACGTGTCGCGGCCAGCTGTGGAGCCTCCACTGGCAGTCAGTCCGGGCGACGGACAGTTATTCGGGGGTTTGAACCTTGGATACATGATGGCCGGTAGAGCGATGTTGTCGAGGTGAGCTCTCACTTCATCTTTCCACACACCCAGCTGACCTAGATACTGTATCCGCCTAAGACGCAGTCTGGGGACATGCTCCTCATCATTACGAATGCAGATGTCCTCCTGTTCGAGCCCATGCAAATGCCGGCCGTAGGCACCGCGACTACCTGACTCCCTCGCGAAGACATTTGACCGAGCGAATCTCAACTCCGCCCTCGCACACCATAAGAAGCCTCACAGATTGTTCATCGTCATGCAACCTCAATCGCGTACGAAGATCTCGCATAAATTGTTTGGGAAAGATCCCGCCCCACTCCCTGAGTTGTACGTTCCAGCTGCGCCAGTTGTCGCGTTTAGCTTGCTGCAGACGGGCACCAGCCGGGGTCTCGGGGCGTTCACGTCATCGTCTTCCCAACACACCGTCCTACAGCTGGTGAGTTTTCCAAATCCACGACTACCAGAGTATAAGACACTCACCGCCGAATCTACGCAGATTTGATGTATTTGCGACCCGGGCGATAGAGTGTCGTCAATCGTAACACATCGCAATGTAATGAACCAAGTACATAACCATGTCGGCCAGCGAATATGTAACTACTCAAACTCTTCCACGGCCAGATAATAGATGCATGTGAGCCTGATAATACCGAGCCAGAAAAGGGTGTACGAGAAACCACAACCGAGACATGTACGACACTGCAGAAATCGGGAAATTACAGCAATTTGCAAGGATAAGAAACTGTCCGCACCAGAGATCACGTACACTGATCGTCCAAAGATATATCGCTGTCTGCTTCACGAGAGAAATTTGGAACTTTTTGGTCGCAAAAAATATGCGAAAACAGCCTGAAAAAATAAGTAAGAAAATGCCATATTTTTCCTCCCGGTATCCGGCGGCCCGGCGACTCGGCAACCCGGCAGCTGAGCCGATTGTCCGCCAGGCCATTGTCAAAGCGCCCGTGGTTGCGGCACCCGGCGGACAA